AACTAAGGAAAATAGGTCGTAAGAATGTTTTCCATGGAAATAGCGATAGAACAGCGAACGACTTGCAACATTTCCTCTGTGGAAGGTGGAAAATAATTCAGCACCTGCAAATACGCGGAGGCATTTTTGAATTCTATCAAAACTAAAAAGTGAAGACTGTCTAGCTTCAATTCAAATATGGATGCAGTTCTTTATTTTCGGTCTGATCTAGAGAAGTTAGGCACTTATTGGAGCGGTCAGTCAGTCAGTTAAGGACCATAAGTACTTTCGATTCATCACTGTCATGGCAGAGGTTTTCTCTGCAGGAGGTTGCCGTTTATTTCTGCCGTAGACTGGTTGACAACCAATGATATATGACCCCATCTGTTCTGTTATTTAACCCATACTTTAGAGGAGAGGAGATTGATTTCTACCTTTTCTAAGTGAATGTCACGAACCCGACTGGAATTCGAACTCGGATCTCCGATTTCTCATTCCGAGCCGATATCTATTACATCCTGAAGCTGTATAAGAAGCAAACTGTTTTCTTATAATTTTAACGATGGATCGTACATATGTTCCATTTGAGGTCTGGGGTAAGCTTCAGTCCCTACAGTCGTTCAAGACTGTAGGGACTGAAAGTCACCCTAAACCTCACATAGAACATATAAATCCTTGGGAAAGGTAAGAATTCATCTCCTCTCCTGCAAAGGGTCTCTTTGAGAGAACACCCATTCATCACTATAAGCAAAGATTAATTGTTTACGACGTGAGGATGGAATATTTCTAGTTTGGTTTTGAGGTGCTGATTGTTACCAGCTGGTCTCCCCCACTACCACCACCATTAAGTCGCTGTAGTTATGCTATTGATGTCCAAGATTCGTAGGCCTACTGAAAATTTGATCTTTGATTTTAGGTAGATGTCCTTGTCTTTCCAAATGTGTTTGTGGTTTGGAACATTTTTTTATAGAATATTCTTCTTCTGTATGCCATATCTCTTTAGTACATGAGCGACCATGGCTCTCCAAAGCCTTCTATCCCATATCTCTCAGCAGTTCTTGTCCCTTTACCATCCTTATCACCGCTTGTTCCGTCACCCATTCGCACAAACTCGCTAGACAGGTGGCCCGAGCCCCACTTTCTCTTTTGTTTTCGATATGTCTTGTGAGTTTCAAATTATTCAAGCCGATTTCAGTTTGATCTGTTGAATTTAACAATAACCCAGTTTTATTTGAAGATGATAAAAATAGTTAATTAAACCCAGAAATTGAATTCTAGTCATTCGAAGGATCGTCTGCAACACTTGGAATGGTGCCTAAAAGCAATACCACAGAATCAAACACGAGAGAAAGTGATGGAATGGATACTTTACGCGAAGATAGTGACACAGACAATGGCTCAGTGAAGATAGGTAGATTAAATCCTAACTCAAAGCCTAAAAATTGGCCTTGTGCCACATCTAAGCTACGCTTAGAAAGCCACCAAAGACAAACCCATTTATGATCAATGTTAGAATTATAGCTGGTAAGAAAAATGGAAGCAAAAATGTCATTTATACTCAGAATCAAAATGCGAGTGTTGAAATTTCTAGGATATAAAATGAAGAAGGAATGCTTAGAAAATTTGACACCCATAAGATATATTATAAGGCAAGAGGGAGACAAGAAGCAGGGGTCATTTACCTGACAAGTAGCATATGTGAATGAATGGAGGAATGAGGGTGTCAAAAGACGAACGTTACTAAGAGTTACAAAAATAGGAAGTTGTGGGGAGTCATTACCGCTCATGCCCTTAAGGAACACAGCACAAAAAGAAGATAAAATAGAAGATTTTGAATACATCTTTGATTGAAAAGAGGACTATTTTGATCATTTTGAAAGAAAGTTTACACCGTGGTTATAATTGCCTTCTACTTATTTTTTTGGGCATTCAGAGAAAACGCGAGTAATCATGGGCCTTCCCATCTTCCTATTCTCTAGATATAACCAAGTGCTCTTAATATCCGTCCTAGTCCTTGTCCTGTCATCAATTTACACATGCTTGTTTGGTTGGTTAATAGATTTTTCTTCTGTCCCTTTTTGCCTTCAATATGACTAGTAAGGGCACGTTTCTCCAAGCCATCTTTTCTCCTTATCTGACCCAGAAATGTCAACTTTTTCAGATTCTAAATGCCAGTGTTACCATTTTTCTTAAAGCTTCCTCATTCCTCACTGGTTCAGTCCATAGTATTTCCCGCATCCGTCTTTAGAACGATATGTCTGTTGCTTCGACTCTCTTTCTCATCTGTGAAGAAAATGTCCAGCATTCACTGTCATATAAGAGGATTGATATTACACAGAAGTTCTTCATACTAATATTTGTTTCTAACGAAATGTTCCTGTTTCTTTATCTTTTGCTTATCTTTTGCAAGGCATCTTTCGTTATTCGAATTCTTCATAAAATTTCTGCATCAAATTTTAAGTTTTTGGTTAAAACATATCCCTGATAGTTTTTTGCTACGGTTACTTCCTTTTGAAGTCTTCAGTTCATAACTTTTGAGCTGGTCGTCTTACAATTGACGTTTAGTCCTTTCTTCCCGCTTCCCATGCTACTTTGTCTAAGAATTCCTGTAGCTTTATTTCTGCCATCAACAAGATTAAGATTATACACGCCGATTAAATATTCGTTAATCTTATAATTCTCCTATGATGGCCTCGCTGTATAGGTTAAATAAATCTGTCCAGAATGAACAGCCTTGACTTACGACCTTATTAAGCAAAGATCACATCTGACATTTTGAAGTCCACGGGAGAGAAAACATGACACTCTTTTTCTCCTACATGCCATATCCATGCAGGACATCAGCAATAGTGGCTCTCCACAACTTCCTATCCTTTGCGACGACTATGCGCATAACTATTACTTCCTTGCTTGTTGTACTGGTTTTTACAATAAACCTGTTACTATTTATCCACCGTGTCAGTCCAGTCCATATTCCTATTAACACGGAAAATAACATGATGGAAGCACTGTTAATCGATAAACGCTAAGTAAACACAATTTTCCATATTTTTTACTGAATAATTAATAATTATATTTTTAATTAGTTCAGATATTACTTATGGTATGACCTGATCGTAAACTTCCTGGGTACGACGATTATAGGCCTCTGATCGCGAGGTTTTGAGAAGCATTGAGTCACATCTTAATTGCTTCCCAGGTCCACTCTGTCCCGTGGTGGTAGCACCTGTTGTAGTCTCAACTATGGGAAAATAGTTACCCCCCCCACACCAACCTGGGGTCAAAACACTATGAAAACGTAAAAATAGATTTTTATAATAAAAATACCAATAATATATTTTTGAAAAAAAAAATACCAGCAATACATCTTTCAAGAATAAACATAATACCAACAATACATTGGACTCTTTACAAAAAATGTCAATGAAACCCGATCTACAAACTGATTTCTTACGAAGAATACATATTCTATTCATACGAACCTATCCTTGTCGACATTAAATAACCCATTGACGTTGATATGTCGTAAAACAAAATAAACAAAACCAAACCTAATGGCGAAACAACAGACAAAGAAGTATATTTGATAACATAATACTATATCCAGTAGTACACAAAAATAAATCCATAACTTTTCTAAGTCTTTGCTCTGAAAATACCACGGGTTTAATTAAATTATCCCTGACTTGACCCAAGTTGTTGGCAATCGTACTAATATATATTTCGAGCGTTGAATGTGTTTCAATTTTGCACGTAGAGCGCCGCGGGGGCTGGCTTTTTGGTTAATGCCCCCGCTCAAGGATCATTAAGGTTTTCGATTAAATTATCTCTCGATGGCAAAGTGGCTTACCTATATTAAATTTGAACTAGTAAGATTACTTTCTATAAAGATTGTATACAATATTGATGAAATCTGTTACTGGGGTCTGATAAAATTATGCAAGAACAATAACTTCTCATTAACTCGCATAAATATTGCTATCAAATCTGGTCTGAAGACTGCGTTATGCATGAAACTCGTCGTGATACCGGCGAGGAATGATACATATATATATATATATATATATATATATATATATATATATATATATATATGTGTGTGTGTGTGTGTGTGCTCCAGAAAATTTAATTCGGTTGAGCTCTCTGGGGAGGAAGTGTGGGTTTGGAAAAAATGACTATTACGGCTAATAATGCAAGACTCTACGGTAAATCGAATCGAGTTCTCTCAGTCACTGCGTGTTTATTTAAAAATAAATACGCTTAAAATTCACCTTCATACTTGCCGTGCGCCAACGGCTGAGTGGTAGAATCAATCCTAGCTAGAGGCAACCAGATACCTAGCTACACTGACGAGATGTGATACAGCGAAACAGTCTGTCTGTGGATGACTATATATATATATATATATATATATATATATATATATATATATATATATATATATATATATATAGATTGATGTCTTTTTACATTTTAGATTTATATATGTTGCATCCACCCACTACCATAAAAAACACAGATATACACAAACATATATAAATACAAAATTGAAAAATTAATCAGTTTGTCTGACGATCGCAAATAGCGTGAAGCCCAGGGTCACAAACTCACATCAATCCAACTAAATATGTTAGCTCTATCCTGATATTGAGCGCTTTCCAATAAGTTCCGCCTATATATAATATAGAAATAATATATATAAAAATTGCACATATATATATATATTTATATAAATACACATTTACACACACACACACACACACACACACACACACACACACACACACACACACACACACACACACACACACACACACACATATATATATATATATATATATATATATATATATATATATATATATATATTAAAAAAGTTCGTGATATTTAGTATTGGCAAATAATTATAATAAAAATTTTGCAAATAGGAAATTATCCGGTATCGAACTGAAGCTCTCGATGGTATGATTTAATCGAATGCGAATTGTGTTTGATTTGGCTTTAATATCTGTGTGTTTCTATGATCACCGAAGTTAAGCAACGTCGAGCATGGTCACTACTTAGATGGGTGACCGCTTGGAAATAGCAAGTGCTGTAAGCTTGAATGTATTGGTGGTGTAATGGAAATTGGTTAGGAATTGTTAATCGTAGAGGCGAGTTCCAATTCCCGTTGAGTTCGTTTGATTTACTTACGCGCAGTTACTCATTTCTCCTCAGCTATGGGTTAATTAGTAATTAGTACCAGTAAACCATTATTATATACAACAACAATCTTAGAATATCAAAATATTTTCTGGCATTAAATAACCTGTAAAGGGTTGATAAGCCATAGAAAATGAATTAATGAATCAATAACGATTCCAGTTTTACAATACAGATAGATAAATCACTTTCAACGTATAAAATTGACGCAGCATAGTATTTGATTACCATTTTTTTTATTGTACTCAGTTAAGTTCAGTAAATGTCAATAATAATAATAATAATAAAGAAATACAAAAATTTATACTCACAAGTACAACTTACACATTACGAAGAGCTTTATCTATGTAAAATGCGTGTGATCTTAGGTTCTGTTTTTGCGAAATTGATGAATGGAAAAACTTATAAGGAATTTCCGAACCTAGGTCCCTGGTTGAGACCCGGAAAGAAATGTGTATACAACAAAAATCAAAGGAAATAATAATAATAATAATAATAATAATAAAATAAAAATAATAATAATATCACTTGAATTAGCGTCGACAAAATGAACATGTCTTCAACTTTTAAGATAGAGCATTCTATCTGGAAATTCGCCAGTCGTAAGCTATGGGAACTTTTCCACAATTAATTTGAAATTTAAAATTAGGTTTTTCTTTTTGTTTTATTTATTTTCTTTTATTTCTTTGACTTATTTTATTTTTATTTTATTGTATTTTTTATTTTACTTTATTTTATTTTATTTTATTTTTTGTATTTTATTATCTTTTCTTTTTCTCACATTTCCAACGCACCTTTCCGCAGTTGTTGAATTTCACTTTTAATCGAAGCATAAATATATATATATATATATATATATATATATATATATATGTGTGTGTGTGTGTGTGTTTGTGTATATGTATATATGTATGTATGTGTATATGTATATAGCACAAAGTCATCGTGACCGAGGTTTTGAACATGCTGACCTTGTTTATATTTTTGGATCGCGAAACTAGATAACACGCTCTCCCCTAAAACTGTGACTAAGGTCTGCTCAGTATAGTTGCAATATAAACCACAGGTGAGCTCTGTGGGTGTTCAATAAACACAAATGCACCAAGCCGCCATAGTAAACGGCTATCCTTGAATACGAGTGGTCAGCTATTATATATATTATGCTAAGTTAAAACATCATGTAAGTTCTATTTTCATATGCCTATGTTACCCAACTGGATATAGGGTAGTAAATGATGAACTCTCAAACCCTGAATATCTGAATAACCCCTGGTTGACTGTCGTTCTAGAGTTGGTACCTTAAACAAAAGTATCTCTTGGCGCTCAATGATAAAACGCAAAGAAAAAAAGGTACTTGTGAACAGTCAGTCGATGACCACCTTGTTTATCCGACTTGACGGGACTTTTTACTCGGTCTTACCAGTAAGATTATGTAGTACTTTTATCTAAACCTATCATCATATCACACGTGTTTGGCTGTTATGCATGTGTCTGCTATACACTCATCAGAGTGGGTGTCATGATGGGTACATTGAACTTCATACGCCAGCGTCACGTAGCGTACTGTTTTCTCAAATAATAATAAAAATAATAATAAAATTCTTCTTTTTCTTCTTCTTCTTCTTCTTCTTCTTTTTCTTCTTCTTCTTCTTCTTCTTCTTCTTATTATTATTATTATTATTATTATTATTATTATTAATAATAATAATAATTCCAAAATATATAAGCTACTAACTTAATGTTACCCGTGTCACATTAAAGTTGATGTTGATGCATTATAACTCCCTAGAAAAGCTGGTGGACAAGGACTAATTCAGTTAGAAATACGTTTTAAAACATCAATCACAGGCTTAGTAAAATACATAGAAACGACACGAGATAAGTATCTGAAAGCTGTACTAGAGCATGAACGTGCTAAGATGTACTTCTATCATTAAACAAAGCCAAGAAATAGGAAACTCCTTAAGTGTAACGGATACTCAAGACGACGAATATCCTGAACCTCCCACCTCTGCAGCAAAGAAAATGAAGTTCCTAGCGAAAGCAGCTTACATGAAATATCTTGAGCAAAAATGGAGTTATGAAGCCTTGTATCACGTAGTAATCAAAGTGTCTGGATGAACCAAACCCATCAATGGCATAGACGGAGACCAAAGACCTTATTATGGCAGTACAAGACCAATGTTTTCTACCTAATGCCTACAAGGCTGAAATCAACAAAAATGACTCAAATCCTGCCTGTCGCTTACGCAATAAATTTGATGAAACTGTTGACCACTTAGCATCAAGGTGCCTAGTCCTTGCTGAGAAAGAATTCATTATTAGACATGACAGGCTAGGACAATATATTCATTGGCATGCCTGTTCGAACTATAGTATTGAAGACCTGGATACATTGTACAAACACCATCCGAATGATGTCACAAATTGTGATGGAGTGACTCTACTGTGGTATTTAGCAATCCTCATAGACAGGAAAGTTTTTTGTAAATAGACCAGAATTAGTCATAAAAGATTTTTTTTTTAAAAGGAACCTACCAAGTAACTGATACGACGCCTACAGGCTTCCAATGTTTCTAAAAAAGAATTTCAAAATCTGTCAAATTATAAAGACCTTCAAATCGAATTAGCAAAAAAATGGAAATTTAAAACTGCTATTATCTCCTTGTGATACCATACACTGGATACGATATAGAAGGCTACCGAAAATCATGTCAGTAAAATTACTGGACATGTCAGCATCTCAGACCTTCAAAAAGACTACTTCATGCGTAACTGCACATATCATTACCTAAACCCTCTCCGTATAAACGAATCGCCCTAAATATGCATAGATAATTCTTACAGTACCATTTTTTTTTTGACAGACCCCAGAGAGGACTTGGTAATAAGGCACTTAAAATTATTTTCCGTTAAGATGATATCACTAGTAGTAGTAGTAGTAGCAGTAATAATAATAATAATAATAATAATAGATCCTTTAAACCCAGGTTTAAAGCGTCGGGTAGTCATCTACACTGGAAGATCATTAATATTATCGTGCGTTTGATCATTAGTAGGTGATCTACATATGTGCCCTTGTGCTATAATAAGCTAAATTTAGTGAATATAATTTAGTAGCCGGCTTCATGACTGAGCTATGGTGTATTTACCCCAGAGGTTAGTATTCGCGCCCAGTTAAAACTAGGATATCGAATGTTGATATCTAGAGTAGGCCCTTCCGACATTTTATGATTGGCGCAATGAAATTTATCTAGCCCAATTTCTTCATATTTGGTCATCTAATGTACTTAGTTAAACCGAAAATATATGACGAATATTCGTTTCAGATAACTACACAGTGATATCCTTCCTAGGCAATTAAGTCCAAGCAAAGGCCCTACTAGCCTCACATCATTTAAATGTCCTAAATTAACCCAGATAATCTATTTGTTCCAGTTATTAGTATTCTCCAATTTCCATAAACGGCTGAGTCAGTAGCAGCCTTTCTCGACCACACGTCTCTGAACTGTGTTTTTCTTCTTTCCCCCCCGTCCCAACATTTCCAGTAACTTTCATTGAATATTCATCGAAGCCTGTTGCTTTAATGAACTGCCAAGCCAATAAAACGTTCATCTGATCGACCAATGCCCAATCGGTTCTTTGTTATTGTTGCCAAACACCATTGATTGGGAGTCGGCCTCCGAAGTCTTTCAAAGTTGGCAGCAGACGGGGAAAAGGTGTGAGACTGTACGGTTGTATAAGGTGCTAGAATGGACGAGGCCATGTTTGCATGTGTACTCATACAATTATATATTTTTTTTGTGCACGGAATAAGGTCGCATTATGTGAGGAGGACATAAACCCTGTTCAAAAGAACTAGACGTTACACTAATTTGTCAAAGACACTATTATTAAAGCTTTCAAGGACAATAGGCTTTTATTAACCTATTGTTATTGACAGAATCCAGTATTCAAATATTATTTCAGTATCGAAACCAATATTTTAATCAAGAAAAGGATAGGTGGATAGCATAAATGTTATTGTTGTGGAAAGTTGTATCAGCGAACCGAGTTCAAATACCAGGCTAGCCTGTTGCATTCACTTTCGCACTAATGCCTTCCCCAACTATAGATTAAATAGCAGGGTAAACTCACCTCTCTAGACTAGAATGGTAGTCATTCTAGGAGAAATGTTGCATTACTCTCGAATGAACTCTCCCCCGATAGATTAAAAGAAAGAAATGGACAACAAACGTTTGCCGATCCCGAGGCTGTAAAACGCAATTTAAAAAAGAAACTGAACTCCAAGCATAAAAAAAAGTTCAACAGTGCGAGATTCATTTGAACATACAATATGTAGAACAAAATCTAAACTTGAAAAACATACACATGAAATCTGGGAACGTCTAGCTCTTGAATAAACAAAAAGAATAAAAAAAATCAAAAATACATTTGATGCACCTTTCTACAACTTGAAATAAGAGGTTTTTGTAAAAATTATTGACGTTGTCATAATAAAAGACTTTGCGAAAATTTCAACATCCTAACACCGAACCCCCTTCCACATTAGTGCCATTGTGGCATTGCTTGGCGGTGAAAAGATTACCTGTTATGTACAACATCTTGTATTATCTGTCATCAAATTCCTGGCATCAAACTCACTTTGCTTTCTGCTGAGAAATTAAAGATTTCCTGTGCTAAAACATTGTTTTTATTGGGGACAAAATTTGAATGTGGACAGAGAATTAGTTAAGTGAGTCAAGACAATTAGAAAGCAGGATGATGTCTCATCACACATGATTTATTTCATCTGTGCATTGAGGCAGTCCCAACGATGAGGAGGTTATTATCTCTAGACGTAACTTTAACCACAGACTCGGCACAGATGACACACGGCTGATGGAAAATTCTAAAA